TTCACTAAAGGGGGGACTTTCAAGACCAATAGGGGAATCTAAGACATGATGATTAAATCAATGAAATGACCAGATAGATGAGTAGGATGAACCTTGTTAATATCAGCTAAACCTCCTTCTGCATATCCATATAATAAGTACTCTGTTGCTACACCAGCCAATGCTATACATGAGAATCTGTTCAGCATCTAATCAAAGACATAATACTGTCATAATCATAAGTAGTTTCCTGTTAATTAACATGAGGTTTCTCCAGAGAAAATTAAGTACAAGGGAGCCTCATAAAAGCTTGCACCAAGAAGAGACCATACCGTAGATGACATTTTCCCTGCGTTGGTCTGCAAATTACAGTCACAAATTGATTCAGAATTTCAAATTCAAGCAAACAAAGCTCATAAAAAATAAGCACGGAAAAGACGTTCAAACGTACCAAAGCATAAGCTAGTTGGACAAGCTAAGACAGTAAGACATGATAGTTCAGAGAGAGTGTTAAAGGGAAGAGAACTCAACAGGTCATAGAGAGAATAACTTACTTCCTCGACAAACTCAAAGTCAACAAAATTTGTTCCTGCTTGAACATTGAGAGACCCTTCTTTGCTCAAAGCTTCTAAACTCGAAAGTGTATAACTTTTTGGAAGGATGCCAAGCAAGTAGGCAATCAAAAAGTGTCCAGCTTCATGCTGCAGTTGAAAATTGATCTTGTGGTCAACTCAGGGATAGCAAAAACTTTAAGTGTGACGAAAACTAGAAAAGGCCACCCTATAAGGAAACATCTACCATATTTATACATTTAAAGATAACAAATCCAATAAGACAACACGTATTAGCTCCAGGAAACGAGAAAATGAACCATGTGCTTACTTGAATAACCCGGTTGTGGTACTTTTGACTGATGGCATGGCCAATCGTATCAAGAGCCAAGCCGGAAATTCCTCCACCAAAAGAAATCTGTTAGAAGCCACAGATTAACACATTGTTTAAATGATTCAAAGCATTTCTCTAAGCACAAAAACTTAATACAGTGACTCAGTCCATGAACAATATTTTCATGAGCCTCAACCATTAATGTAGGAAAAAATTTCTCAAGTTTGACAAAGGAAAGAAAAAAAAAAGTTACCAGATCCAATGTCCACAAGAACAACAATCCCAAAGAGATATAAAAGAGTTGCTAGGGGCTAAGTTCAAAGGCGTTCCAAGCAGCAACACCACCTAAAACCGCAGCAATCTGCAGGTTCCTTTCAATTGAACCAAGAGTCGTGTCCACAGGCGACAAGAGAGAAGCAGCTTCAATTCCATTCAGCTTTAATTCATCCAAAGTATACAGTCTCTGAGGCACCTGCACTGCACATCACACTTCCACTTAATAACACAATACTAAAGTCCAAATCCATAACATCTCAACTTCGAGACAATAATCATGTCTGTGTAGGGATCCAAACATGTCTGTCCAGAAAGCACTTCATAACATTGTTCAAATTCAAATTGTTCTAGGCTTCAAACACTCACACCCTTATCCAATGTATCATGTCAAGAGTCGGACAAAGGCCATACGGGTTAGATTTAATTTAAAAAAAAAAAGAACTTACAGGATACCAAAATTCAACATGCATTCGAAACAAATGAACTAAAATAATTCAAAAACAGTTACTTAAAATAAATAAAAAAAAACCTCAAAAAAAAATCATGAATTCGAAAAAAATGAACTAAAAAACAGAACTTGCAAACATCAAACAATCATAATAAGCAATTGAAATACAAAATACCCAATTCAAATATAATTAGATTTAATTTAAAAAAAAAAAAGAACTTACAGGATACCAAAATTCAACATGCATTCGAAACAAATGAACTAAAATAATTCAAAAACAGTTACTTAAAATAAATAAAAAAAAACCTCAAAAAAAATCATGAATTCGAAAAAAAATTAACTAAAAAACAGAACTTACAAACATGCAAACATCAAACAATCATTATAAGCAATTGAAATACAAAATACCCAATTCAAATATAATTAGATTTAATTAAAAAAAAAAAAAGAACTTACAGTGAGATGCAGATGCAGGGTGTAGTCGTCGACTCGTCGTTGCAGGATGTACAGCGTGTAGTCACTGCTGGTCTGGACGTCTGGTGGGCGGTGGTCTGGAGGGAGTGGGTGTTGCCGTGTTTGCTTGTCGGCTGAGAGAGAGAGAGAGAGAGAGAGAGAGAGAGAGAAGTGAGTTAGGGTTAGAGTGTGTTAACAAAAATGAAACGGATTCTTTTGAAATTTGGGATTTTTTATTTTTTTTTTTTTTTTTTTTTTTTTTTATAAAAAACGCATTTTTAACGGGTTTCAGGTCCAGACCTGAAAACCCCGGGTTTGGACCTGATCCGGACCGGGACCGGAAACCTTGATTTTCAAGGACCGGGACCGGACCTGAATCTACAGGTCCGGGTCAGGTCCGGTCCCAACAGGTCCGGGTCAGGTCGGTTTTCAGGTCCGGTCCTGTTCATGTACACCCCTAGGGGTGAGCATGGGACGGGTACTCGTACCGTTAGTACTAGCGGTTCGGGTACTCGATAACCAAAATCACTAAAAGTGATAACTATAATCAGAACCGATAAGTTCGGGTACCCAAATTTCGGGTACCCGAATTTTCGGATCGGTTATCGGGTACCCAATATGATATCCAATAATGATAATTAAACTTAATTATGTAGTTATTATGATATAATTTACAACTAATTAAAAACAATACCATATGATCTTGACCAAATTATTAATAATATTACTAATCATTTATATTATAAAGTGATTATGAAGTAAAGTAAAAGTTTAGATTTATATTAATAGATTTAAGTAGGGAAAAAAAAGCAAAAAAAAATGCTTATCGGATCGGATCGGGTAACCGTTAATTTTAAAATGATACCCATAACCATACCCGATAACAAATTATCGGAATGGGTACCCGAACCGTTGTGGTTATCGGATCGGGTACCCTAATTTTCGGAACGGTTACGGATCGTTTTTTTCGGGTTTTCGGGTAGTTTTGCTCAACCCTAATAAAATGTAAGCAAAACTAGAGAAAATGGAGTAAAAGGAATACAAAAGTCATGAAAATTTATCCTAAAAGAAGTTAAATGAGTGCCATAAATGACACTCATCAGAAGAGGATTAAGTCTAGCCCTGCGATGACTCCTCATTCTGTTATTCCGGCGGAGGTTGACATGGTTCAACCCCGCCCCCTCCAATGAGTTTCCTATGTTGGAATTGTCGGGGCCTGTCTAGTCTCCGTGCAGTTCGAGCACTACGTAAGTGGTGCACTTCTTTAGTTCTTGATGTTTTATTTTTTTTCTGAAACAAAAGTCAATAAAGCTATTGCTAAAAGTAATAAAAATAGATTTGGTTTTGCGTATGCTTTTGGTGTTAGTAGTATTGGTAGAGCTGGTGGTCTGTGTTTGTACTGGAAAGATAATATGGATTCTTCTCTTAAATCTTTTTCTCAAAATCATATTTGTGGAGATATTAAAACGAGTGATGGATTACTTTGGCGTTTTGTTGGTACCTATGGTTGGCCAGAAACTGAAAATAAAAACAAAACCTGGACTTTGATTAGAAACTTCTACAATGATTTTGATGGCCCTATCCTTCTTGGTGGTGACTTTAATGAGATTTTTTCTTATGACGAGAAGGAGGGAGGAGCTGATAAAGAGAGAAAAGGGATGTCAGGTTTTCGAGAGGCTCTCCATGACTGTAATCTTCATGATTTGGGCTACATGAGACAATGGTTTACTTGGGAAAGAGGTTTGACAATTCAAACTCTTATTAGAGAGAGACTTGATCGTTATGTGGCCAATGACAAGTGGCTTGATGTGTTCCTAAACTCAACCGGGGAGAATCTTGATTGTGATAAATCTGATCACTCACCCATATTTCTCAGATTTGGTGCGCATAGATGGAAAAAGAGGAGAAAAAAAAGGTTTTGATTTGAAACATGTTGGCTTCTTGATGGTAAATGTGAGGAGGAAGTTAGGGGGGCTTGGCATGGCAATGTGGGTAGAGTGGAAGACCATGTGAAAGATGTGGCCGACGATCTTCAGGTTTGGAGTAGATCAAAATTCCTGAAAATGGAGCAGCAAATCGATACTCTTGAAGATGATTTGAGAAAGGCAAGAAGAGAAAGAGCCACCAACGAATCCCTTGCAAGGTGTGTTGAGCTTGAAAAAAGACTAGAAGATCTTCTTGATAAGCAAGAAGCTTATTGGTACATGCGATCCAGAGCTTCAGAAATTAAATCAAGGATGGATATCGCAATACTTTGTATTTCCACCACAAGTCAGAGGAAATCGAGGAATAAAATTAAGGGTCTTTTAAATGGTGATGGTAATTTGCAGGAGGAGGAGGACATTGAAAAGATTGTTCAAAGCTTTTACCGATACTTATTCTTTGCGGGTACCCTGTTGGAAGAGGCTTGGGAGTCAGTCTTAGAGTCAACAAATGAGCTTATTACTCCGGAAATCAACTCTAATCTCTTGCGTTCTTTTACAAACGATGAGATTTTTGCCCGCCCTATCTCAGGTGCACCCCTGTAAGGCTCCGAGACCTACGGTATGCATGCTATATTTTTTTCAAAAATTTTGGCATGTTGTTGGAGATGATGTTTCCAGGCTTGTTAGTAATATTTTGCATGGTAATGAGTCTTTTTGCTCTGTAAATAGTACTAACATTGTTCTTATCTCGAAAGTGAAGTCTCCTACTCTGGTCTTGGAATTTAGGCTTATTGCTCTCTGTAATGTGCTTTACTAAATTGTCTTGAAGGGAATTGTGATGAGGTTGAAATCGATTCTCCTTAACATTGTTTCGGAAAATCAAATGCTTTTGTTCATGGTTGTCTCATCACTGATTATGCTCTTATTGCTCTGGAATTTTTCCACACAATGAAGAAGAGATGTTCTAGTAGGAAAGGCTTGGTTTTTATGAAGCTGGATATGAGTAAAGCATATGACAGAGTAGAATGGAGTTTCATTGAAAAGTTGTTATTGAAAATGGGATTTGCCGACAGATGGGTGAAGATCATATTGGATTGCGTGATTACGATCAAGTACTCTTTTATTATCAATGGGAATGTGTGTGGTTCTGTGACTTCGACTAGAATCCTCCGTCAAGGAGACCCCCTATCCCCGTATTTTTTCATCCTTGTTGCAGATGCTTTTTCAGGCTTAATGCATAAAGCTTTGGTTGATGGGGCTATTCATGGAGGCAGAGCTAGTCGTAAGGGGCCGGAGATCTCTCATCTTCTTTTTTGCGGACGATAGTCTTCTCTTTGAAAGAGTCAATCAAAGGGAGTGTTTGAAGATTGTTGAAATTCTCAACATATACGAGCAGGCTTCCGGGCAGAAAATTAACTATGACAAATCGGAGGTTTCTTTTAGCAAAGGTGTTAGCATCCCAAGACAAGAAGAATTGTTGAGTGTTCTATCAATGAGGCGAGTCAACAAGCATGAGAAATACTTTGGAGTCCTAACCATTATAGGGAAATAAAAAAAGATGGTCTTTTCGACGCTCAAGGATAGGATTTAGAAAAAATTGTCAAGTTGGAAAGAAATTTTTTATCAAGAGCAAGGATGGAGATTCTCATAAAATCAGTGATTTAGGCCATTCCCACATACATCATGGGGGTATATAATATTCCAGCAGGGGTAATTGATGATATTCATGCTATGATTGCTCGTTTCTGGTGGGGTCAAGAAAATGATAAAAAAGAGTACATTGGAAAAGTTGGGAGGATCTTTGTACTCTGAAGTGCCTTGGTGGGAAGTGTTTTAGAGATTTAAAGGTTTTCAATGATGCCCTTTTAGGTCGTCAAGCTTGCCGCCTTACGAGTAATCCGGACTCCCTCTTGAACAAAGTACTTAGTGCAAAGTACTATGCGGGGAAGACATTCATCAAGGCTCATCTTGGTGTTGGGGGAAGCTATTCTTGGCAAAGCATTTGGTCCTCAAAGGCTTTGTTCAAGGAGGGTTTGATTTAAAGAATAGGGAACGGATCGTTGGTGAACAGGGGAAAGCCTTGGGTCGATAATGGGGATAGCTGCTTCATAAGCACGCCGGTATCCAATGAGGGTCAAGTTGTTAGCGACTTGATTGATCATAATTCTGGTGAGTGGGATGTGCAATGCATAGAGAACATATTCAATGATAAGGATGTCCGCAACATACTTACAATCCCCTTGAGCTCGAAGGCCGATCCAGATTTACTCACTTGGGCTTTCTCTATAGATGGCTGCTACTTTGTCAAATCGGCCTATATGTCGGGTAAGTCATGCAATCTTGATATTTTTCATAAGTCTTGGTTAGATAATTGGAGTTTGGACATCACCTCGAAAGTTTGTCACTTCCTGTGGCGATTGTGCACTAGAACTCTCCCTGTTAGAGCCTACCTTAAGTACATGCACATGACTGGAACCTCGGATTGCCTGTGGTGCGTTGGTGTTCCCGAAACAGTTCAGCATGCCTTCTTCGACTGTCCTTCAGTTCGAGACCTTTGAGTGGAATGTGAGTGAACGGAAATGTCCCTTTGGCAGAATGATATGTCGTTCCTCGACTTGATGGAGTCTTGGGGCAAACTTGATGCAAAGAAGGTATGCAGGGGAGCAATTCTAATGTGGAACCTGTGGAATAGAAGAAATAATATGGTGTTCAATGGCAAGGAGGTTTACCACCCCATCATTGTTGAGCGTGTTTTCCGATTGGCAATCGATTGTAGCTCATATGCGAAGAGAATTTATGGAGGCATCAAGAAACCTTCCAGCCGTAGCCCGAAAGTTTGGAAAGCCCCACCTGAAGGTACGATTAAATTGAATTGTGATGCATCGCTTAGTGTTGAAGGGTGGGTGGGACTTGGAGTCACAACAAGAGATTGGAAAGGGGACGTTCTTTTCGCAGCTACTCGCCGAGTTAGAGCTCACTGGCCCCCGATCATAGCTAAAGCTCACTGCTGCCATGGCCATCAAACTTGCCAGGAGCCACGATCTCTCTGACATTATTATTGAGGGGGACAACCAAGTGCCAATCAATCGATTATCCAAGGCTTCAATTTTCTTCACTGATCTAGATAACATTCTTGATGATATTTTAGCTTCTTGTTGCGTTTTTAATTCCGTTACTATATGTCATGTTAGACGGGAGGGTAATGTTATTGCTCATAATTTAGTCTGATTAACGCCTTTTGGTATAGAGCAAATTTGGGAGAACTATAGTCCTTGTGAGGTTTCTCCATATGTTTTGATGGATAAATTATCAATATAATGACACCTTAACGGGTTAAAAAAAAAAGTAGCGTAAAGAATCAAACCAGCACACTTGAAAAAAACCGGAATTCAAATCTTCCATTGTACGAGTATTTCCTTTTATTTTCCAGTTTGGGTCAATCTTCTTTGTAAAAAAGGATTGAAAGTAAATACCGTAGCACAAAAAAGTACCCCGTATTCCCGTAATGCAATGATACTCCAAAAGTCCAAATAAAAATTTAAATTTTTTTAAACACACTTCACATTCACTACAAATTCGCGCCAAACACCTCAACCTTCCTTTTTTTTTCCCCTTTCTTACACACAAAATAAAGAGAAAATTAAACAAATCCCTAAAAATCAAACAAAATTTCCCATTTTTATTACAAAAAATCATCAAATCCTTCAAAATCAATCTCTCTGAAATTCTACTTTTGTAACGCTCGTTTCAATTTTTTTGGTTTTCTCTCTCCTCAAAAATTTCCCAATTTCTAGGGTTTTTGTAAAATTATTGGGGGTTTCACCATTGATTCTCTTCACTTTATTCATTCGATATGAGAGCGGCTTCTTCTCAGTCTCACTCTCAGACTACTTGTGGTACTCTACTCCAAGAATTGCAGGTTTTCTTGCTTTTTTTTTTTTTTTTTTTTTGTGTTTTAATTTGTTTTCTTGATTTTTGTACTTGTTTTTAGTGATTTTAGTGAGTGTTTTTGATTTTTTGAATTGCTTGATTTTAGTTGTTTTTCGTTTCTTTTGTGATGAACTGTTGGATTTAGTATGAAATTGTGAAATTTTGGCGATTATAATTGTTAATGCCTGTTTTTTAAGCCGTAGAGTAAACAAAACTAGGCGAAATGGGGTAATTTTGATTCAAATATCATTTTAGTTTGAGGAATTGTTCAAATTGCTGAAAATGCAGTATGTATATTTGTGAGAATAATTAAAATTCTTGGTCTTTTTCTGATTGTGAGTGGTGGTGAACAGTGGCTGTTCTCGTCATAGAATGAGTATTCTTAGTGATGATGGTGATGGTGGTGGCTATCGTGAATTTTTTTTGGATGGGTGATGATCCCATGATACGATTGCACGAGTAGCTTTACATAGTGATTTTGTTATTGAAAATTTAATGGAGAAGCACGTATCATTTGTGCTGGTAAGATGTGAGACTGAATGAACTGGTGCAATTATTGTTTTCAGGTGCAAACCCCAACAAAATTCAGTTAACCTAAATGATACAATTATTCCAAATTTAATGCTTTAGGAACTGAACCTGTTAATTTTCTTTAGTCTGGTTTGTGTCATCGTCTTGTGTTTGTGTCAACTTTTTTTTTCACTTTGTGTTGAATAGTTAAAGCAGTTGTTCATAGATGTTTTAGTGTTTTTTCACTCTTAGCCGGGTTAGTTATCTCCTGTTGGTTTTAATTCTTTAATCGAGATCCCTTTTGTTACATGAAGGTCTTAGAGAAGAAAATGTCTAAATTATTACAATTGGGTCTAACTGCTAAAGAGTGAGGAGTGCAGTCTGTTACTCTTAGAATTAGAAGAATTTATGTTATCTCCTAAAGTCTTACATTTGAGTGATTTCATTTAGTATTCTAATTTCAAGGTTCTGTTTTTCTTATACTTTTTTTTTTTTTAATGTTCTTCATTTAGAAAATATGGGATGAAATTGGGGAGAATGATAGCGAAAGAGACAGGATGCTTTTAGAACTTGAGCAAGAATGCCTTGACATTTACCGAAGGAAGGTGGAGAATACAAGGAAGTACAAATCTGATCTTTATCAAACACTTGCTGAGGGTGAAGCTGAAATTGCTAGACTAATGTCAACACTTGGAGAGAGGGCCTCTTTTACGCGGGTTTGCTTCTCTTTTAATGACATTCGGTCTCAGCAATATTATTCCATTTTGTTTTTTTACAAACTTAATTCCTTTATTTTTATTCTAAAGGCAAAGGGCACTCTCAGAGAGCAGCTATCTTCTGTAAAACCTACCTTAGATGATTTGAGATTAAAGAAACTGCAAAGAGTAAAAGAATTCTCTGACATTGAGTCCCAGATTATTCGTATTTGTGCTGAGATAGCTGGGAATGATCAGTTTATAAATAATGCTGAACCTCAAGTGGATGAACAAGACTTAACTGTACAAAGGCTAGCTGAACGTAAATCACATCTTGAAGAGCTTCAGAATGAGAAGGTATTCTATCTAGTATCTTCAACATCTATAATCGCTGCTTTGAAAAAAATTTGCTTTAATGCATAGATATGTCTCTCCATTGTAGGCTCTCCGTTTGCAGAAAGTTAATAGTCACATAAGTGCTATTCATGAGTTATCAGTCGTAATGTCTCTTGACTTTAGATCAACGGTAGATGAGGTCCACCCTTCTTTGGTTGATCATGGATATGGCCAGTTGAAGAGCATAAGTAATGATACTCTTGCTAAGCTGACAGGTGTTGTGAAGTCTTTAAAGCAAGAAAAGCAGCGACGGTTGCAAAAGGTATTTTTTTTAAAACACATGTTTCTTGTATCCATAGGTGTTCTAATTCCCTTAATCCTTGACAGTTCCTGATGTAAATAAGAAAATCAGAGTTGTTGGTGACCTAAAACATTAGTATTACCAACTCAACCTTTTGCCTGGACAGTAAAATAGTCTGACATGCTGAAGAGCCACTGTTTAGGTATAAGACTTTTTTCTTTCCCACCGAATCATTTCTACAGGATCATGTATTTTTGTCTGACTTTTCTGTTAATTATTCCATTGGGATCATGGTGCTGTTTAGCCAAAGAATTTTTTTTTTGAATTCAACTTGTACCTGTGGCAAATTCTGAAATATTCTAGCGATTGTCTCTGTAGCTTATAATACTGTGTTTCGGGTTGAATGGATGCTGAAAAAGGGAAAATTGCAGTATTTCATCTTCTTGAATATGCTAAACTGCAGTATTTCTTCTTCTAAACTGATCAATTTTCTGTTTAAATAAATTCATTGTTCATGACTTTCTAGCTAGATGCCTAGATTATATTTTCATATGTTGATCTCATAGGTACGAATGAAATGATTTCATTTCATTATTTATATTTTTGCTTTATCAATTCTGTTGTAAACATAACCAAGTTAAAACTTGTTTTGACAGATTCAAGATTTGGGTAGTGCTCTTATGGAGTTGTGGAGTCTCTTGGACACCCCAACTATCGAGCAGAAAAAGTTTGAGAATGTCACATCCTTAATTTCTTCGTCTGTTGACGAGGTTTCCAGATCTGGTTCCCTTTCACTGGATGTCCTTGAGCGGGTATTATTCTTGCTCTCTCAATGTGTTTTAATTTGTAAAAGTTACGGTTCTAACCTATTAGTTGTATCTATATTTATCCTAGGAGCCTGACATGTTTTTTTTCTTCCTGTTAGACTGAAATTGAAGTTGAGCAGTTGAATACTCTTAAAGCCAGCAAGATGAGAGAGCTAGTGCTGAAGAGGCAAACTGAATTAGAAGAAATATATAGAGGGGTTCATGTGGATGTAGACAGTGATGCAGCAAGGAAAATGCTGATCAACCTCATAGATTCTGGTTTGTTGAATTATTTATTTATTTATTTATTTTAAATTCTCGTTCTAGATTGGAAGATTTCATTAAATTTCATGCTATAATACCTGTATTTTAACCATGGACTTGAGTCCTTTTTAATGCGGAAAAAAAACCTGCAGAAGCACAAATTGGCCATTGCCTTCATCGAGAACTGATATCCTAAAGTATTGTACTTCAGTGATATTGTGAAGTTTAATTTAATTTTATCAATATTTTATTTGTTTATTTTGGATTTCACAGTCATATTGTTTTTCCATTCTTATCTTAGAGCATCTTGCAGGAGTCGTGGGCTCTACTGCTTCCATAGTATTTCTTCATTCGTGTTATGTTTCTAGTAATAGTTATCTTCTCATGGCTTCACAGGCAAAGTAGATATGTCTGAGATGCTCTTTCGTATGGATGATCAAATAAGACAAGCTAAAGAAGAAGCTCAGAACAGGAAGGATATACTAGATAGAGTTGAGAAGTGGAAGCATGCTTCAGAGGAAGAAATTTGGCTAGATGGATATGAAAAGGTAATGAAGTTGGGAGTTCGTTTTAGATTGTACATAACTGCTCAAGTTAAGCTCTAGTTGCTAAGTGGTACTCCAAATTTTACTGATCATAATGGTTGCAGTTGTGGTTTCTACATTTTTCTCAAATGTACTGGTGAATCGACAAATCAATTTAGTACTTGTATTATTTCTCAATTCCAAACAATCTTTAAAGATAGTAGCTACACACCTGTACTTGTGTCTTAACATGTTCAATGATGGAATGTTGTCAAGATTTTGGTATAATTTATGATGGCTGTAATGTAAGACTCTGATTAGTGGCACTTCTCGGTACTTGTATACACACATTAAAAGAATGTATCCTGTTCATGTTTCTATATTCCTTATATACTCCATCATTTCTTCAGGATGATAATAGATACTGTGCTGGTAGAGGAGGACATAAAAATTTGAAAAGAGCAGAAAAGGCAAGGACTCTAGTCGGCAAAATTCCATGTGAGCTTCTTCAGTTTTTATATTTTTGAACAATTCTGCTGATTATACCATTTAGGGCTAAGCTACAAGATTTACGTTGGTACAGTTTCATGATATTATGTAGCATCAAGGAGCTTTGTTTTTTGTTCATCTTTTTGGGGGATCAAGCTAAACCTCTGCTATGATTCACAACTTGCACTGTTATAAAGGTTGAAAGAGATGCTGATCCATATTAATTGAGGCGCCACAATTAGTGTCAGATGTTTGCGTCAAACATGTCTACTTTGATTCTATTTTTGATTTATAATTAAGCACAGATATCTTGTCAGACAGTCAGAGTTTAGTTTTGAGTATCTAACACTGATCTTTGGGGCAGTATGAAGACTTTAAAAGTCCAGTTAACATAGATGATGGCATCATGTTGCTCTTGAGTATACTATTTTGTGCTTGCATGTAAAAGCTGACTATTTAAAAGGGGGTGGGGGTGTTGGGACTTGGGAGAGGAGAGGTACAACAAGAAAATTTCCTTTTTGCCAAGTCTACCTTTTATAAGCCTCATGCAAGAATTATTGAACATTATGCATCAAACTTGTAGGTGCCTTGACTGTTCTCTCTCTCTCTCTCTCTCTCTCTCTCTCTCTCTCTCTCTCTCTCTTTTCTAAACATTATGACTAATATGATAGATGAGAAACATTGGTATGTTGAAGTTTTATGTGTTTTCGTTTCTATAAAAATTTATTCTTGATGTGACACCATCTATAACTCCAATTTTTTTTTTTACCATCTAATGTATAAATGTCTTCAAATTTCTATAATATGATTAGCATAACTTGGAGTTTTTACTATAGAAGTGTTAGTCTTTGGCGAAATGCAGTGATGGCTATTATGTGGATCGTGTGGCTAGAGTGCAATTAATCTATTTTGCTTGGCAACGCTACTATGAGTGTTATGTTGTGGGGCAAAATCAATTTCTTAGATAAATTATGGGCTGAGGAGGTTGGAGGCTTTTTAGGGTAAATCTAAAGAAATTGGGCTAATTAGTAGTTGCACCTTTTTTGATTATTTAATGAGTTTACCTTGTCCTCTATTTGTACTTTGTTCTTTGCAGTTCTAATATAGTTTTGCTGACAATAATTAAATTTAAGGGTACTAGTATATCTCACTTGATTTTGCAACTGCTTCTCTGTACCTTATTAATGTATTTTGAGTATCTTGTACTTTATGCTGATGATGATTTAGTTTGTATATGTAGTAGTGAATTATGGATTAAAGTAATTGCACATACGATTTTATCTGTGGCACCTCTCATTTTATATAAAAGGGGGAACTACTGAACTAGTGGGCTGTTTTGCTCTATCTATTTTACATTTGAATTGTTTTTTTTTTCTTCCATTAAGAATTCATTGCATGATACCTAAACATTTCAAATGGTTGTGCTGTTCTCTGCTTGAATTCCTTGTGTGATACTATAAATAAATAAATGCCAGTTCTCTTCTAGTTTTGTACAGATGAACAATCTGGTGTATCTTCAAGCCCTTAGTTTTACTATTCATTTCTTGGCATCTTGCTGTTTCTAACACCTTTTTTATTGTTACTGATCATTGAATTTTATTTGGCAATGATTTATTTGATTCAACATCCTGTGCTTCCAAAAGAGTTTGAATTGTTTTTCATGAGTCTGAATTATTTTTATGTAGCTCTTGTTGAGAGTTTAATAACGAAAGTTAAAGCTTGGGAGGTAGAGAAAGGAATGACATTCCTGTATGATAAGGTGATCTACCAGACCCTTTACTCCTTGTTTTTATTAATGGTTCTCTTCTCATATTATATTACATAACGTCTTTTCTTGTTATCAATTACCAGGAGCCTTTGTTACATCAATTAGAAGAATACACCTTACAGCGTCAGCAGAGGGAAGAAGAGAAACGTAGAACTCGGGTATGTCTCTGACTGATCTATTGTATAGTTTTATCACGCAGTCACCTTTTCTTCACTTCCTGATCTAGCGTACAGTGTACTACAAAATATTAATTAAGTCGAATCTAATTAATTTGCCTCAGCATAGATGAGCTACACTTATCGCATCAGTCTCACAAAGTCAATTGTACTAATATATGGATAGAGTAGGAAGTCTCACAAAGTCATTTGTAATAATATATGGATAGAGTAGGAAGAAAAAGGGTAGGACTTGCGAGAAAAATAAGAGGGTTGATTTGATATAGGGGAGAGATGGTAGTAAGTGAAACTGAAGCCCAACTTTGCATGGAATAAGTTTACTCCCTCATTTTAGTTGCATAAAGATTAATTTGTGATGGACTGACATGGTCAAGTGAGAGATTAACACTAGACCGAGGGGGTTGTTCATGTGATTGAGGACTGTGAGGAGTTTTAATGAAATTGTCTTTGATTATCGCAGGAGCAGAAAAAGTTGCAAGAACAGCTTGCTACTGAAAAAGAAGCGCTCTATGGTTCAAAGCCTAATAAAAAGCCTTTGGGTCAGAGCACCAATAATAATACAATGGTCGGAACTCCCAATACTCGTAGGATAGGAACTCCTTCAGGGCGTCTTGGGATCTCAGGTAGTAAAGAGCGCAGAGATAGCGCAAGAGTTATACCAGTGAACTTTGTAGCACTCGCCAAGGATGATCCAGTGTCTCGTGGTACCTGACCTTGATGCAATTTGGTTTGATGGCCTTAATATGGTTGAGAAAGAGGACTTTCAGGATGAATGAATGCTGAAATAGTTCTTTCGTAGTGTACACACCAATAGTTTAGGAGGGTCATTCATGTCTGAATCTGTCAAAATTGATATTTCTGGAGGGTGCATATTTTCTGAAGTTAGTTGCTAGTATCTGTTAAAAGCTTGAATCTGTTAATATAGGGTGAATTCAGAGAACTGCATATTTTCTGAAACTAGTTACTGATATGTTTTAAATTGCCGAACTTAACAAGTAATTATATGTTTTGTAAGAATTCTTTGGTGGCGAGCAAATCGTTGAACCCTCGTGTTAGTTTTACAGTGTTTATAGGACAATAACATAACATGATTACAATGTTATAGGGGGGTTGAAAGTTCTGAGGATCTATGTTACTTTTACACTTCATTTTATGGTTTACAAATTGGACAAGCAAGAGAAGCGTGGGACGATTTTGCCATTTGATAAACAAAATTTGTTTATTATCAAGGAGATAAACTTGAATTTTTTTTGGGTTTTTTTCGTTGTTTTTGTTTAAAGGAGTAATGGTTTATTTTTATAAGTTCATACTCCCCAAGCCGAAAACTCTTTGAGTCATAACAAACCTCTTCAGGTTTATTTATTTTTATCAAGTAACCAACCCACTTGTTGAGTCACTAATGAATCAATAGGCCTATTTCTTGTGCCAATAACACAACGGCCTAGTTGTTGTTAAGAACATTAAGGATGATACTTAGAGGGGGGGGGGGGGGGGGCTTTAGTATGGAAATGATTTTATTTGTTGAGAAAATTTATTTATTTTTATCTCATCAGTCATTAGAATTAGTCAGATCATGTTGTGTTAATCTCCCTAAGTCACACTTTTGACTTATTGTTAAAATATAATGAACATATAAATAGAGTGAAAGAACATATGAAGTACCGTTAAATAATGTTCTTTATCAGAAAGCATGATGTATATTACTCCCTCTGTTTTTAAATACTTGCTCCATTTCTCTTTGGCACGAATGCCGATGCTAATCTTTGATCAATAATATCTTTAATTACAATAAGTATAAATTCTAACAATTGAAATTTAATAATCTATTAATTGAGATGATTCCAACAAGTATCTACAAGACTATTTTTTTTCTTATGTATAAATCACAAACATTAGTCAAAGTATGACAAATAAATAGTGTAAAAAATAGAAATGGAGCAAGTATTTAAAAACGGAGACCAGGGAGTATATTTTTTTGTAATGTACAATTAACTACTTCCTCTTTTTTTATTTTTAAATGCATTAGTTTGACCGGTACATTTGTCGAGACGCAACTTTGACCATTAATATATTTAACTGTCTTTTAATAAAAGTTATAACAAAATTATTATGAAACAAGACATATGACAAATCTAATGATATATTATATAATAACATTTATTTATTTTACGGAAATTTCACCAAATGCCACTGACAAATTTAAAAATTCACCAAATGCCATCGCACTTTTCAGAATTCACCAAATGCCACTCACAAACAGTATAATGTCACATCGTGCCATTAATGAGGTCTGGACGTTAACAGTCCGTTAACGCGAAATGACCTCTATGCCCTTATTGTCTTTTATGGCGCCCTAAAGTGCATTGACTCTCTGACTTCTAAAATTTAGATAAAAAAAAAAAACAAAAATACCTCGTTCTTCTTCTCAAACCTTCCCCTGTTCTTCGAGCTTTCAGCAACACTCAGACCTTCAAATCTCTAAACAAGGAAGAAGCTTTCTTCGAACACCTGAACGGAAGACGCAACCACATTCACGCTTTATCGTTTGTTGAACTTGGGCGAACCTGAAAAGCGGTGAATTCTATGGAGGTATTAGAAGGAAAACGCTTGAGTTCAAATTTTTTTCGGGGTGCTGGAAATAGCAATCAAGGTAATATCTTCACTTTCAATCTTCATTTCGCGCTTCGATTCTGAATTTTTTTATCGAAAATTGAGTTAGGGTTAGGGTTTTATGAAATGATCAGTTTTATGCGCTTATTTGACTTGACCTATGTGATTTATTGTTTAAATTCATGTTAAAGATGGTAATTTGTGGGTATTGATTTGGCATTGATATGAATTTTGGGTTTGTGAAGTGCTTGAAATTCAATTTTGGCAATGTCTGATGTGTTGGTATGTTGTTTTGTGATATGAATGATGTGTTGGTATGTGGTTGTGAATTTGAATGATGTGTGTTGATGTTATGTGTAATTTGTTGATGATAGGATGAGTAAAGGGTGGCTTGATGTCCATTACAGAGATCAGGGCTTTGGTTGATGATACCGACAAAACAAGTATAATGGATTTGTATGAGTTCATGTTTGAGGATTCTGTGAAACAAAATGTGATCCTTCCCAAATGCTTCACTTTGTTTGTATTGCCACCTAGAACTAATAGGAAGTTGGAGTTATCTAGGGATAGGGACAAGCTTAAAATTGTGGGAGTGGTTTCAAGGTAAGGAGACAATAGAAATATTCTTGGAGGAAGAGCAAAGTCCAAGGCAGGTGTTTAAGGATGCTGAGGCTAATTGGCAAAGAAGGGTTAAGGCCATGGATGAGAAAGCTAGATTGGAGGAGGAAAAGGCCCAGGCTGAGAGAGAGTTGGAGGAACAGAAACCTTTTAAAGTTGCAGTTGAGGTTCCTGTTGCTAATGTTGATGGTGGTGATATGGAGTATGTTAGAGTGTTTGACACTCCAGGAGCTGATGAGGTTTTCCCAGGGGCATCTCAGCCTGAGCCTGAACAGAGTACTCAGCCTTCCACTCCACCTAAACACCCTCAACAAACTTCTCCTCTGAACCAGCCCAAATCCTCAAGTGCAAGCAAAAAAAGGACTCCTCAAAAAAGAAAAAAAAAACAACACCCTATAAAAGGTCAACTGGAAGAACCCAACCCTCCCCTCAACCACAAACAACCCCACCACCTGAACCGCCGCATTCACCTTTACCACAAACAACCCCACCACCTCAATCACCTGAAGCACCAGTTTCACCTCAACCACAAACAACTTCACCACCCCCTTCACTTGAGCAACCAGTTCCATCTCCACCAGTTGAACCTCAAGTAGAAACAGTGACAGCTGAAACTGGAAATGCTATGCCTTAGAAATCCAAAAAGGTGGGTAGGTCAAGACCACCAGGCTTCTAAACAAAAAAGAAGAGTGGGAAAGGAGTTGCTGGGGGAAGCAATGAGCAGAGGGTCAGTTTAAGGAGATTTGAAAGAAGTAGGAGGTCGCCAGCTAGGGTTGACACTAGTGAGGATGATAGATCTGATGATGATGACAGTGAGGATTTAGATTACATAGAATCTGGGAGTGAACAATATGATGATGATGATGATCTTGGGGACTTCATAGAAGAAGAGGAACAAGTTGAATGCCTGTATGATGACATCCCAGAGAAACAATTTGAAGATTACCTAGATGGGAGCCAAGCAATGGATAAGACATACGAGAATGGCAAGGTTTGGAGACACTTGAATGTGGAAGCATTAAACTAGAGCCATGGCTGATTTTTGCAGACAAAGAGTCATTCACTGAAGTTTTTAAGGATTTTTGTGTACAAGAAGGGTTTGGAGTATTTGTTGAAAAGAGTGACCCTCAAAGGTTTATAGCAAGATGTGCTATTAATGGTTGCAACTGGAGAATTCATGCTTCAACCATGGCTGACAAAGTGAGTTGGGCAATGAAGACATTGACAGGGGAGCATGCAACCTGTGGCAGGCTTAAGATAACCCTTGTTGTTAGCTGTGATTGGCTTTGCAGACATTTGCAGTCAGATATTCAAGCCAATCCAGACATTCCAGTTGAGTCTTTGCGAAGAATCTGTATGGAAAGGTACTGAATTCGTGTGAAGAAAAGGTTGTTTTACAAGGTGAAAGCAATTTCCAAGGAGATGATTCATGGTGGATTTGGAGAGGCATACAGTCTCCTTCCAAGATATGATAAGATGGTGAAAGAGACCAATCCGGGAAGTTATGCACTAGTGACATGGACACAATTATCTGCAAATGTCCAACCTAGGTTCAAGGCATGCTTCTTCTCCTTTGCTTCTCAAGTTAGAGGCTTTTTGAGAGGGTGTAGGCCTATCATTGGCATTGATGGGGCCTATCTAAGTGGTTATTATAAAGGGATTCTGTTAACAGCAGTTGGAATTGATGGGAACAATGAGATCTTTGTGTTTGCTTATGGCATAGTAAGCACAAAGAGTGTTGAGACTTGGGGTTATTTTATGAGGAATTTGAAGTGCCTTTTTCAGAAAGAGGGATGCAACAGAGATGATTGGACTTCTATTTCTGACAGGATGAAGGTAACTCAGAATTTGTTGTGCAAATTATTTTCTTTTAAAGAGCACATTTCTCCTTTCTCACTTGTTATATGCATATGCAGGGAGTTGATGCAGCAATTATGGAGACATTCCCCAGAGCTAGTAGAAGAATCTTCTGTCAACACTTGTACAACAACTGCAAAACAAATGGTTTTAGTGGAACAACTTTTCACAAGATTTTTTGGGTTGCTGCTGATGCTTACAATCCATATGTCTTCAACAAAGCAATGGAGAAGATTCATGCTGTAACACCCCCAAATTACTCTCTAATATTAACAATACTAATCCAACTTTAGGGAGTAACGTAGGAGTATTACCGCCACGTGATTACGTAAGGCTTAACAGAGTTTTGCAGCGGAAAATAGTACTTAACTTTCATTAATGATAATAATAGTAGTAATAATAGTTTGATACATTTTCAAAATAACTACACCACTAATACTATGTCTACTAGATTAAACTAGGTGATCACCGCCCATCATTCCCCATGCAACATATAGTTCACGTTGTTCGATCGCCATCACCTATCTACTTATCAAAATGATAAGTAGGGCCAAGCCAAAACAAAACAAATACGTATTAGCCAAAATGCTAAGTACATACAAATGCTAGACATGTAAAATCAATTTAATTAATTAAACATGCTTTCGAAAAGATTTAACTTTATTAAATCATAATTTATCCAAACCATTTCTGAATATAAATTCACGTATAAAAGCTTGTCAAAAGAACCAATTTCCGAAATAACCAACTTTCCAAAAATAATTCCAAATAGGATGGATCAATCCATATTTTCAAAAATCATTTTACCACCTAAGTGTGCACACCCCCCAAGTTAGTAACTCCTTTACATAGTGCTATCAAGGGGAAAGACTAGGTCATACAAAGTCCATAGTCTTAAACTTACTCCGCACAGTGGGAGTTAAAAATCCAAAGATCCAAGGAATAAATCCTGATAAATAAACTTCCCTATATCCCATACTCGGGATAATTTAAACAACAAAACTTCCTTCTTGAATATCAATACAAGTTTATAATCAACCATATAAAATATTCAAACATGTGAGATTAAGCGATTAAAACATGCTTCACCAAAATTTATATCATAATCATTTAAACATGGTTCGAAATC